AAAAAAAAAAAAAAAAAAGAAAATACAGATCCAGCTTCTGATCCCAGTGCCCCACCATTCCGCAACTCCTGTCCTTGCCAAGGGGTGGGACAGACGCCCATCACCTTCTGGTTAATGACTTCTGCCTCCTCCTCCAGCAGGGCCACCAACCTCCGCAGTATGGCTTCCTTCTCTGTGGGTGGGGGACCCTGTAATTCTGGAGGCAGAAGAGAATTTGGCTGGGGGCAGAACCCTATCCTCCTACTCCCATCCTTTTCTGGGGCTCCTCCGTGCCTCACCTGGGCTGGGTGGAGATTTCAGTTGCTCTTGGACCAGCTGTTCCAGCCGCTGAGCCACCAAGGCATAGAAGTCTGGAGTAGCTGGGCCTGGGGTGAAAAGAGTTAATGACAGGTTTCCAGGACATTGGAAACTTATGGATTCTCTCCTTCCCCCAACTACTTTGGCAGGTGGCAATGATTCCCATTTTATAATGGGGTAAGCTGAGTCCCAGTGAGAAAACTTGGTAAAAAATGCCAAAACCTTTGTACTTTTCATTTTATCAGATCCTCAAACTGCGCTTAGAATGTCAGAGCTGGCCGGGTGCGGTGGCTCACGTCTGTAATCCCAGCACTTTGGAGGCCGACACGGGAGGGTCACTTGAGGCCACGAGTTTGAGGCCAGCCTGGCCAACATAGAGAAACCCCGTGTCTACTAAAAGTACAAAAATTAGCTGGTATGCTGGAGTGCATCTGCAAGCCCAGCCACTCGGAAGGCTGAGGCACGATAATCACTTGAACCCAGGAGGTGGGGATTGCAATGAGTCGAGATTGCAACCCTGCACTCCAGCCTGGGTTACAGAGCTCTGTCTCCAAGACTGTCAGAGCTGAACTAGACCTCGAAGATGATCTCATCCAAGGAAGGCAAACACAAGACACTACTGTTAGTATCCCCCTTCCCTCACCCACTTCAGACATCACCAATTGATCAAAGCACTTCCTCTCCCCAGCTGTGAACTCCTTTTCAAGCTAGCACTCGCAGCAGCCATTACTAGTCTGTCCAGGTTCACACCTACGGGGAAACTTGTGGGTCACCTTGATCAAGTCCAGTGACCTCCTCCCCAATTCCTACTCTGCTATTGGAAAAACAGGGGAGCAAGGAAGAGAAAGCATTTTCCCCAGAGTCACGCAACTAAAACAGCCAGGGAGATGTAATTGAAAACCAGCCCTCCTACCCCTCTATCAGGGGTATTCCTGGCTACAAAAGTCTTAGGGGCAGGGAAGTAGTTATGGAAGGAAAGAGACAACAACCAGATGGACCAAATGCTCTCTGAAAGCCAACCCACAGCATTGACAGATAGAAATCTAATTGGGGAGAGGAGACGACAGGACGGTTCCATTCTGAAGGCTGATGCTAGAGACTCCACACAGCCACCCCCTGAGTGATCTTAAACTAGCACCTTATCCCGTGTTCTGCCAGTTTCATAGATGATCATGGAAATCTCTTACCAGGCTCTGAACCATAGCAGGGGCGGATGGGCAGAGAGCAAGGCCGAGGGGACTCAGGGGGTGCTGCTCCTCGCCCCAGGGAGCAGGGAAGACATCTTCGAAGGCGGCTCAGGAAGTCTGTTGGCTCTTCTTGGGCAGGGCTTCTGGGGAAGAGGACTTCAGAGAGTGACCCCACCAAAGATCCCCTGCAAGCAGGCTCTTTCCCCAACTCCCTCCCTCCCCCGCTGAGGACCTCTCTCCAAAACAGAGAATAGAGCCAGATATAAAGAGAGGAGACAGACTGAGACCAGGAGCAAGAGTTAGGAGGGACCCTCAAATGCTGGCCCCTGGGGGAGAAGGGCAACTCCTCTTACCTGAGTGGAGTTGGAACAGGAGACCCGGCAGCCTCACCACGCCTAAGGAAGGCAGCTAGGACCCTCAGCGTGTCTTCCCGGAGCCTCAGCTCTTCAGAGCCTGCCATGGAGGCACCTGTGAGAGAGGGGACTAGGGACTGGGCTCCAAGGGGTTAGCAAGAAGTGGAGGCTTGGTTGGGGACCAGGACTTGTGAGTCCCAAGGAAGGCCTGGACTCCTGGGTCCTTTGGAAAGTGTCGGTCTAGGGGCCTAGACTCTTGAGTCCTCAGACGAAAGAGGGGTCAGGAAAGACTCTTTGATCCAAGGAAAGGTGCGGGGGCTGGGTGCCCAGATTCGTGGGTCTAAAGGAGGAGGGAGCTGGGGTCCTAGACTCCTGAGTCTTAGAGAGAAAGGAACTGGAGCCCCAGACCCTTAGGTCTCCCAGGAAGAAGGGGCTTAGCGCCCCAACTCCTGGATTCTATAAGAGGCATATGCCAAACTACTGAAACCCTTAAAGCATCGGGAACTACCAATCCCAGGAGGCTTCAGGGCAAATCTTCCCCTCGGTCCGCGCTTCTTCGCCGCGCAGCCTGCTGTGAGGTGTAGTTCCAAATCCCCGACTCCTGCTGGAATCTAGAGGACCCTGGACCCTTGGATGTCGGAGAAGCGGGACTGGGGTGCCCACTACTGGATCCTGGCCCGCTCCTCTTCCCTCCTTACCCCACCCCTCGTCAACACCCCGCTGACCTGGTCCGGGGCCTCACCGCCGCCTCCTCCACTCAACCTGCCGCCGCCTCCACTCAACTTGTACAAACTTTATTAGTTCAACTTTCCCGCGCCTGCGCACTGGGCCGGGTCGGTAACTGGCCCAACGAAGAAAGGGCGGAACGCTGGGTGCACGCTCAATTTGCATGTGACGCTCCCAGCATGCCTCTGGCAGGAAACCCAAAAAAGGGCATAGGGGCGGGGACAGCCCCGGGCCCCGCGGGCCGTCCGTTCGGCTCCGTGGTGTGTTACCCAAAGAATGATAAAGTTGGTTTTATTTCAAGAAGTCGATCGAAAAGAAAGCCTCAGCGCTCTAGAGTTCAGCTGACGGGAAAGGGGGTGCGCAGCCTCGAGTTTGAGAGCTATCCGGACCCCCAAAACAGGGGTGGGTGCCAGCTCTCTGCACGCCCTGATCTTCCATCGTAGGTAACGCGGAAGAGCCTGGGAGAGCGTTAGTGGCGTCCGAGAGCGAGCAGCGGGAAACAGGATGGGTCTGCACGGAGAGTGGAAAGGCAGGCTGTGTACTCTGGGGAAAGTGGAGCAAGGAAGGAGCTACAGTGGCCGACGCTGGAGGTCGGCTGGAGAAAAACTAGAAAAAGTAGGGAGGAAAGAGGAAAACAGGAGGCGTCTACACTGAGGGGTTCTACAGAGGGAAGGATGGACTCCGTACATGGGTGTAGTTCACTCCCGAAACCTGAGGTGTGCTCTGTCCTGGAGGAGGGGGGCTGGCGGTCGAGGAGGAATTGGATGGAAGTTCTGTGTTGGAAATGTTTCGGGCGATCTTCTGTAGGGGGACTGGGGAAGGGGATCTACACTGGGGTAAATGCAGGAGATAGAGGCTTACACGTGAATCGATTCTGCACTGAAATAACTAGGGAAAGAGGATGCTACCCTGAAAGTGGGGATACTTGCTTTCGATGATGTCGGGGAGAGAGGAGGTCTATACTGGCGGAATTGAGAGAGTGGAGGGTCTGCACTGAAGACACTGGGGAAGGGTATGCCATGGATATGGGAAGGAACCCTAGCGGATTAAGGATCCTCTCGGGAAGATGGGAGGATGGGAAGAGGAGGTTTCCTGTTTGTACGCCCGAAAATATGGGTGAAGGACCTGTACCGTGGCCCGTGAGAGGGAGGGTTCTGGGTGCGGAAACTCCAGGCCAGGTGGGTCCGGGGGAGGCCGGTCGCGCCCAGAAAATGCCCTATACGCGCAGGCCGGACCATGGGAACCCCAAAGCCACGGATCCTGCCCTGGCTGGTGTCGCAGCTGGACCTGGGGCAACTGGAGGGCGTGGCCTGGGTGAACGAGAGCCGCACGCGCTTCCGCATCCCTTGGAAGCACGGCCTACGGCAGGATGCACAGGAGGAGGATTTCAGAATCTTCCAGGTGCGTGAGACGACCGGGGACACTGGAAACCCTGAGCTGCGCGCGGGGCAGAAAAGACTCCTAGCGGGCCGGGCTGAGACGGCGGAGGTAGCGCGCGAGGGACTGGCTCGTGCCAACGTTGGTGGGTGGGGCTAGAACGGGAGGGGCGGGGCTAGCCGGATCAGCTGACTGATGGTGGGGCGCAAGCAGGGTTGGAGCTGCCCGGTTACGGCAATAAAACCGGGAAAGCCGGTTAGTACGTAAAGGAAATGAATCCTGGGGTTTTGGGGCTCTCTAGGGGCCGGGGCTCTTGGTTGTAGGATAGATACTGGGGGATGGTTTTTGAAACATCAGAGGTGAGACCTGGAGCCCCAAATCTGGGGTTCCTAACCACCGAATTAGTATATGCCAGAGGTGGTAAACAGTGTGAGGGGCGGGGTTATCACAGAGGGTGTCGCGGGGCAGGTGGTGCACGGGGTTAGACACCAAGTTGGACTTGGAAGCCTGGCTTAGAAAGAAGAGGTTTTTGGGCCGGGCGCCGTGGTTCACACCTGTAATCCCAGCACTTTGGGAGGCCGAGGCGGGCTATCACCTGAGGTCAGGAGTTTGAGACCAGCCTGGCCAACATGGTGAAAATACAAAATTATTGGTGAAAATACAAAATTATCTACTAAAAATACAAAAATTAGCCAGGTGCGGTGGTGCCCGCCTGTAATGCCAGCTACTCAGGAGGCTGAGACAGGAGAATTGCTTGAACCAGGGAGGCGGAAGTTGCAGTGAGCTGAGATTGCGCCATTGCATTCCAGCCTGGGTGACAAGAGTGAAACTCCATCTCAAAAAGAAAAAAAGGCTTTTAAAAACTCGAGGTGGGGGATGGAGGTAGATAGGACAGGGGGATTTGGGGATGGAACTTGCAGACTTAGAACTTGCCAGGGAAAGAGGGTGGTGTTAGGATTCAGGAGACAGGGTTAGGGCCCCAGGAGCAGGATCTAAGTCGTCCTCCCCCACTATCCTGACACCACTGTTGCCCCAGGCCTGGGCCGAGGCCACTGGTGCGTACGTTCCCGGGAGGGATAAGCCAGACCTGCCAACCTGGAAGAGGAATTTCCGTTCTGCCCTCAACCGCAAAGATGGGTTGTGTTTAGCAGAGGACCGGAGCAAGGACCCTCACGACCCACATAAGATCTACGAGTTTGTGAACTCAGGTCTGCCAGATCGGGGTTCATGTGGGAGGCTGGGGTCCCAAGGGTTCCTGGCACCCCTACTCCCCTCACCACCTTTCTCAACAGGAGTTGGGGACTTTTCCCAGCCAGACTCCTCTCCGGACACCAATGGCGGAGGCAGTACTTCTGATACCCAGGTGAGAATGTGCCCAACCTTCATGCCCCTCAGTCTCTGTCGTGTCCCCATGGGCCTTATCCTCTCTCTGTGGACCATCCCCCCGCTTCCCTGCCTCCAGCCTGCCCCTTACCTGAGCCAGTGCTGGCCCCATCTGTTCCTGCTCCAGTCTCCTCAGGAGAAAATTCCGAGTTTTCACCCTGCATTCAAGGCCCTAGCACACCTTCCCAGGATTTCATGGACTTCGGCAGAGGGCTGTCAGCCTCTTGAGAACTGAAAACTCCCTCACCTTGATCCTGCTGAGGCCTGAGCTGGGGGAGCATCCCCTCTGAAATTCTACCCAGCCTGCCCCGCCCAGGTCTTACCTGCATAGAGCCAGATCCTTGGGTTGGAATGGTAGCACCTGGCGTTCATTAGAGTGTTTGGCTGTTGATGCCATGGCTGGCTCTGTCCCCAGGCTGGAAGCCCCTTGAAGGCAGAGCTCAAGCCAGACTTCCCTGCATTGCTGAGAACAGACCTGGTCCATATGAAGTCTCCAGAAAAGACTATGGAAATGCCTGATTCTCTTTCTTTGTTTCCCTCCAGGAAAACATTCTGGATGAGTTACTGGGTAACATGGTGTTGGCCCCACTGCCAGATCCAGGACCCCCAAGCCTGGCTGTAGCCCCTCAGCCCCTGCGGAGCCCCAGCTTGGACAGTCCCACTCCCTTCCCAAACCTGGAGCCCTCTGAGAACCCACTGAAGCGGCTGTTGGTGCCGGGGGAAGGTGAGTGTCAGCTGCAGGCTGGGAGGGCTGAGGTCTGGGCGGCAGCCCCTGACTCTCAATCTCTCTCCCCTTCACACGGCTGCTGCCGCTGCTCAGAGTGGGAGTTCGAGGTGACAGCCTTCTACCGGGGCCGCCAAGTCTTCCAGCAGACCATCTCCTGCCCGGAGGGCCTGCGGCTGGTGGGGTCCGAAGTGGGAGACAGGACGCTGCCTGGATGGCCAATCACACTGCCAGACCCTGGCATGTCCCTGACAGACAGGGGAGTGATGAGCTACGTGAGGCACGTGCTGAGCTCCCTGGGTGGGGGACTGGCTCTGCGGCGGGCCGGGCAGCGGCTCTGGGCCCAGCGGCTGGGGCACTGCCACACATACTGGGCAGTGAGCGAGGAGCTGCTCAACAGCGGGCATGGGCCTGATGGCGAGGTCCCCAAGGACAAGGAAGGAGGCGTGTTCGACCTGGGGCCCTTCATTGTAGGTGAGTGAGATGGGGGCTTCGCCCTGCCCAGTAGAAAGCAGACTGCACAGTGGTTAAGAACTCAGGATTGGCCGGGCACGGTGGCTCACGCCTGTAGTCCCAGCACTTTGGGAGGCCGAGGCGGGCAGATGACGTGGTCAGGAGTTTGAGACCAGCCTGGCCAACATAGTGAAACCCCATCTCTACTAAAGATACAAACAAATAGTCGGGCATGGTGGCACACGCCTGTAATCCCAGCTACCCGGGAGGCTGAGGCAGGAGAATCACTTGAACCAGGGAGGCAGAGGTTAAAGTGAGCCGAGATTGCACCACTACACTCTAGCCTGGTGACAGAGCCAGACTCTGTCTCAAACAACAACAACAACAACTCAGGATTAGGACTGAATTCAGACCCTGGCTGCCCTTGGCCCACTGTATAACCCGAGGCAAAGGACTTTGCCCTGAGCCCATGGAATCCGAGGACGGTCTCCTCTCTCTACCTGCCTGCCAGCACTGGGGTGAGACATAGGCCCAGTACACAGCATGCTCGGGGAATTAGCTGCTGCTGTCATCATTATCGTAACTAATGATGGTGGACAGACCAATAGCAGGAAAGCTATGTCCCTTAGGGTTTCGCTGTGCGGTGGCACTTTCTGCCATGATGGAAATGACAGTCACCTGCACTGTCCGGTGCAGCAGCCACTAGCCACAAGGGCCGAGCACTCAGGTGAGGCGAGTGCCACCAGGACACGATTCGTTTTAATTGATTACAATTTAAACTGAAATGACCTCACATGACTAATGGCTGCAGTTGGACAGTGCGGCCTCAGAGGGGACTGAATGCCAACCAGCTTCTCCTCCAGATTCACTGGCATCCTTGGAAGCCTGGGCCCCCTACTCTGGGCCTGTTGTGAATGCTGAGGCTTGGGGGCTTGCGGGGGTGGGGGGCCTTCCAACAACCCCACCATGATGGGAGGGAGGGAGGGAAGGAGGAGGAAGTATACAAACAGAATCATGGGGACTTTCCCCAAACAAGCAGTCCTCTGGGCGAGGCAGCAGAGGGCCTTAGGTCAGGGGAGATGGTGGGGATTACCATTCAAGTTTACGGGGAAGGGCGGGTAGAGGGTCCTCTTCTCATCCCTGACTAGACTCCTGGGCCCCCAGATCTGATCACCTTCACGGAAGGAAGCGGACGCTCACCACGCTATGCCCTCTGGTTCTGTGTGGGGGAGTCATGGCCCCAGGACCAGCCATGGACCAAGAGGCTCGTGATGGTCAAGGTGCCTGCAGACCTGAGTCCCTGGGGCTGAGAGGGGTGGCCTTACAGAGGGAAGAGGTTGCTCCCAGGAACTCCACCTCCCAGAGGGCCCTCTAAAAAACTGCAACTTCCAAGATCTCTGCAATAACCAGTTTTTCATCCCCGGGAGCTCCTTCCCATGGCCTCACCTGCAGAACCTGTTTTGAACTCTCTAAACCAGTGGTCCCGAAGCTGTTCGGCACCAGGGACCAGTCTCACGAAAGATAATTTTTCCACAGACAGGGAGGGGGTGGTTTGGGGATGAAACTGCTCCGCTGCAGATCATCAGGCATTAGATTCTCCTAAGGAGCAGCCTAGATCCCTCGCGTGTGCAGTTCACGATGAGTTCGTGCTCCTCTGAGAATCTAATGCTGCCGCTGATCTGACAGCAGGCAGAGCTCAGGCAGTAATATTCCCTCACCCACTGCTCACATCCTGCTGGGCAACCTGATTCCTAACAGGCCGTGGGGGGTTGGGGACCCCTGCTCTAAACCATGTCGAAGCTGGTGGACTTCAAGTTTTAGCTGCCATTGTGAGGCCATGGCTGTGGCTCCCACGAGTTGAGATCACAGACTGCTCAGCCCTGACATCTGGGAATACTCTAGCCTCATATGAGTGTGTGTGTGTGTGTGTGTGTGTGTGTGTGTGTGTGTGTGTTTAGAGGGAAATCTACAACTCCCAGCAGCCCTGGGCCTATGGTTCATCCTGGGTTATAGCAGAGGCTGCAGGAAGTTGTGTGTGTGTGTGTGTGTGTGTGTGTGTGTGTGTGTTTCATCCTGGGTTACAGCGGGGGCTGCAGGGACTTGTAGTTCTCCCAGCCCTGTGTGTGTGTGTGTGTGTGTGTGTGTGTGTTTCATCCTGGGTTACAGCGGGGGCTGCAGGGAGTTGTAGTTCTCCCAGCCCTGACTCCTACCTTGGTGGACACTGGCCGGGTGTTTTCCCTGACTCCTGTCCCCACTTCCCCCGCAGGTTGTGCCCACGTGCCTCAGGGCCTTGGTAGAAATCGCCCGGGTAGGGGGTGCCTCCTCCCTGGAGAACACTGTGGACCTGCACATTTCCAACAGCCACCCACTCTCCCTCACCTCTGACCAGTACAAGGCCTACCTGCAGGACCTGGTGGAGGATATGGATTTCCAGGGCCCTGGGGAGACCTGAGCCCTCGTTTCTCATGGTGTGGCCTCTAACCTCCCCACCCCCCACCACCTCAACCAATAAACTGGTTCCTGCTATGATCACCTCTTGTGTGCGTCTGGTGTTGGGTGTCCTCTGACCCAAGCTGGTTGTTATTCCTGCTCAGGGTCTCAGTTTACCCATCTGTGCAGCTATGCACAACTCAGGTGCTCAATGCATGAGGACCAAGCACTGCAGGGGGCAGCTGACACCTCCTCACCTCTGCCCAGGGACCTGGTGGCTGATGGCTGCCCCCATTTTGTAGACCAAGACACAGGCTGGGAGAGGCACAAAGGTCACAGAGTAGGAAACACAAAGACTGGCCAGAACCCAGGTCCCTGCCTTGCCTATGAACAGTGTGGGCAAACGGCCCTTCTCCTTCCAGGCTCAGGCTCCCTCTACATGGGGCTGGAGGGGCCTTGGTAAAGAGGCTCTGCGGCCACCCTAGAGCCTGCAAAGCCTGCCTGCCTGGTGACCCTGGGCACTGTCACCTCTCCTGGCTAGGCCTCAGTTCTGGGTGATGAAACTGGCAGAAGCCAGCGCAGCCCTGACTCACCCTTCGGCCCTTGCTGCTCTGTGCCTCAGTTTCCCTCTCGGGAGAGTGGATGAGATCACCCCAGCTTCACGGGGCTGCTGAAAACAGAAGCCAACTCAATGGGGAACGCAGATCCTGCTCTGGGAGCAATTCCAAGGCAGGCACATGGCACGCAGGTGCCCTGAGCTGGGAGGATGCTGATCAGGTGGGGGCCGGCCCCGCCTCCCTGTGAGCAGCTGGCTCCCTGCCAGAGACTGTGCTAAGTGCTCCACCTGTGTCTTGTTCAATCCTCACAACACCACTATACAGATGAGAAAACTGAGGCTCAGGGGAGGCAGCTGCCCCAAGTCACAGTCTGGCTCCCTTGTCTCCCACCCTCAGCCTCCTAGGGGCCCCTCCTCAACCCTCTGGCAAATTTGTCTCTGAAAACAAAGGGTTAGAACCATAGGGCTCAGGGGTAATGTTTCATGAAATCTTTAATGAAATTGGGGAGAGGGGCACGAACAGAAGGGAGGGGCACTGGGGACAGGCTTGGGGGCAACGGGGGTGGGCACGGGGCAGGGAAGGGCAGGGGGCTCTCCTCTTCCCTGCAGCAACCCTCCCCCAATCATCCCACTGATGGGGGAGGGAGGTGGGGAGGTGGAGCCATAAATATGTCCAGAATTTCAAAGAGGCGAGGGGCGAAGAGCTGGCCAGGGCTCTCAGAGAGGGGGCAGGGGCAGGCCCGGGCCACCCTTGTCCGGGGGCCCTGGCTCCTTGGGCGGCCGTGGGGGCCCTGGGGGGTCCCCTGGCTTGCGACCGTGCTTGCGGAAGTAGCGGTAGCGCTGGACGTAGGCCCGCACCAGGTTGCTCACCTTCACCGGGTTGATCTCCCCACTTTTGCTGTGGCAGATCTGGGGGGCCGGGGACAGCCGGAGTCACCACCAGGCTCCCGGGGTCCCATCCACCCGGGACTGCTGGGTGCAGCTTGGGACTGGGGTAGGAGCAGCTTCCCCAATAACCAGGCCAAAGTTCCTCTGTCTCCCTAGATGATGGGTGCCCCAGGGCCAGCGGAACAGGCCCAGGTGGCCTTGAGAAAGTCCCATCACCCTCCCAGACTGACCTCCCCGTCTCCCATCCGCGTCCATCTGTCTGCACACATCTGGCCCTCCAGTTCGTCCTCTCCCCGGCCTGTGTCTGCCCCTCTCTCTGGGTGCCCACCTTGTGGACGGCCTTCCTCAGGATGTCCTTGTACTCCTCCTTGGTGATGTCCTTCTTCTGATAGTATGGCTTGATGGCCAGCTTCACCTCTTCCACCGCCCGCTCCTGTGTGTGCAGCTTCTTCAGATACTGGTGGGGTGGCGACAGCGGGGGAAGAGACAGCAAGGGCCAGTGAGTACCTGCAGAACCTCCACCTCCACTCGCCTCTGCTGCCAGCCTAGCCTCTCGGACAGTCCGGCTGCTCTCAGGCTGGAAGTCCTGCTGAGGGTCTGTCCCATGCACCCTCTGCTGCAGGTGCCTGGGACCAAAGGCCAGGCCTGTGCTCTGCATGTCACTGAACATCTCCTCTAGGCTGAACCCTGGGCTGCTCCAGGCCTGGCCAGGACCAGGAGACACGCGTTGCCTGCCCTCACAAAGTTCGGTCTGATGAGAAGACAGGCATTGGCCAAGCACTTGCAGCTGGTTTTGAATCGGACTCTACAGACAGGGCTGTAGAAAGCTGCACAGGGCTTTTCACCGTGGGAAGGGGAGGACTCAGTTTAAAAGGTTTTTACAATACTGCTCTGGTCACCAAGGGGATGGAGGCGCACTGAGGAGTGGGGGTGGGGACTGACCTCAAGCCCATTTGTATCGGAAGCCTGGTCTGCCACTCCCTGTCTCTGACCCCTGGGATGCTCAGCCAAACCTCCTTTTTGTGGCTTTTTCTTTGTTTTTGAGACAGGGTCTCTCCCTGTCACACAGACTGGAGTGCAGTGACAGTCACTGCTCGCTGTACCCCTGGATTCCTGGGCTGAAGCAATCTTCCCACCTCAGCCTCCTGAGTAGCTGGGACTAGAGGTGCCACCACCACGCCCGACTAATTCTTGTACTTTTTCTGGCGACTGGGTCTTACTATGTTGCCCAAGCGGATCTTGAACTCCTGGGCTACAGCGATCCACCCGCCTCGGCCTTGCAAAGTGTTGGAATTACAGGCACGAGCCACCGCGCCTGGCCACCTTTGTGGCTTATTTATAAAATGCGGACAGCACCTATGGGGAGGACTACAGTGACACACATGAAGGACATGGCACAGGCCAGGTACAGAGCAAAGACTCAATCCAGGGGAGCTGTGCCTGTTCCAAGGGGTATGGCCGTGGGACGAAAAGGGAAGGACAGAACAGTGGGCAGGGCAAAGAGCCTCCGAGACAAGGCTCTTCTCGCCTGTGGCCAACAAGCTAGGAGATCCCCCAGCCACAGGCTTGGGGCAGCAGTTGCATCCCTGGCCTCAGGCGGAATCTTTGCAAAAGCAGACAGGAAACCTCTAGCCAGAGAGCCACATGGGACCAGAGAAGAACCGGCCTTCTGCAGGCACAAGGGATAGTCCCTTGCCACTGCCCTTGGGGAAACTGCCCTCCCAAGTCAGGTGACTATCAAAGTAGGGGCAGGTAAACCTGAGTCCTGGAAATGGCAGGGCACAATGGCTAGCAGACTCCGGAAGCAACATCAGTGACACTGTCTGACGAGCTACTGAGCTGTTAGGGCAACTCTATGGCCAGGAGAGACACAGGCCGCCCTGGAGGGACTTCTCAGGCTTGCCTGGCCCCACAGGATGTGGGTCTCTAGAGAGACGCTGCTCCCAAACACCCATCTCGGATGTGGTAAAGCAGGGCAAAGGGCAGAGCACAGACAAGGGCAGGGCAAGGGCCGCTGTAGACCAGGGGGTCCTCACCGTCCGCGACCTGTAGCACAAGGCACAAGCTACAGACAAGTGATGGGCTAAGCTGCAGCCCCGCCTCCGCGGCTCACACGGGATGTTTAATGGGGTTTATACAGCTTTATCTGGCACCGTACACAGCTGTGTAAGGTGGCCAACACCACCGTCTGGCTATGGGCTGCTGGACTGTAAAAAAACACATCTAAGCTGGGCTCAGCGGCTCACACCTGTAATCCCAGCACTTTAGGAGGCTGAGGTGGGAGAATCACTTGAGCTCAGGAGTTCGAGACCAGCCTGGGCAACACAGCGAGACCCCCAACTCTACAAAAAATTAAGAAATTAGCTGGGCATGGTGGCGCGCACCTGTAGTCCTAGCTACACAGGATGTTGAGGTAGGAGGATCCCTTGAGCCCAAGAGATCAAGGCTGAGGCTGTGGCTGTGCCACTGCATGCCAGCCTGGGTGACAGAGTGAGACCCTATCTCAAAACAAACCAACCAAGGCTGGGAGCGGTGGCTCACGCCTGTAATCCCAGCACTTTGGGAGGCCGAGGTGGGCAGATCACCTGAGGTCAGGAGTCAAGACCAGCCTGGCCAACATGGTGAAACCCCATCTCTACTAAAAATACAAATATTAGCCGGGTGTGGTGGTGTGTGCCTGTCATCCCAGCTACTCGGGAGGCTGAGGCAGGAGAATCGCTCAAACCCGGGAGGCGGAAGCTGCAGTGAGCCGAGATGGCACCACTGCACTCCAGACTGGATGACAGAGCGAGACCCCATCTCAAAGAAAAAACAAAAACAAAAAACCCACATCTAGACCTGACCAAGACAGAAACAGCCCCAGAGCCCAGGAGTAAGAGCCGGCCAGAGCAGCTGAGTAAGAACCTACATTACTGTCTGCCTGGCACCCATTCTCCCTCCCTTCAACTAGAAACAAGTTCTTGAGTTTTTATTCAGAAACCAGCCTCCCCCACTCACACTGAGAGGGAGACAGCGTGAAAAACACATCATCAAGGGGTGGGCTGCAGTGTGGGGCGTCTGTTACAGGGTGTGTGTATGTGGGGTATATGCACACACCCCCACACACGCACAGACGTGATTTTCCCTTGGACATGCCCAGCGAAGTTCCCGCTCATCCATTCCAGCGAAGTGGAGTTCCTTACAGTTCCACGACTTTGGTTTCTATGGCCTCAGTCTCCCTTTCTCCTTGGGCCCCTGCATCTCAGTTCCTGTCCATATTCTCTACAGAACTGTCACCACTGCCCCACCTCTCCCCAGGCCAGCTCACCTTATCTGTGTCCCCACGGCCCTCAGAGCTGCTGCTGCCCTCTCTCTTGTCAGACGTGGCAGCCAGCCCGGTGGGGGTGGGGGGAGTTGAACCGCAGCCCCCCAGAGGGAGGCTGCCAGGAAGCAGGTAGCTGGAGGGGCCAGGGGGCAGACCCAAAGAGGTGGGCACAGGAGCTGGGGTCACCCCCAGACTTGAGGGTGGCTTTCTGTGGCTGAGGATCTGTGGGAAGAGGACGGAGGGGTGATGAGTAAAGGAAGGTGGAGGAGAAGAGGGGACGTGCACCCCACTGTTCCCACGCTGACTTCCCCACAGCTGAGGCAACAGGCTCCTCTTCAGGCCGATACCTTGCCCCAGAGCTGCCGGGCCTGCGGTTCCTCTCCTAACCCGAGGCAATGGACAAAAGAAGGGGCGGCAGGGACTCTCCCCCAGGGGAGCCCACCTGGTTGGTGGCCTGGATCAGCTCCTGGGCCTTCGCTCGGCTCGCCAGGTTGGCTTCTTCCATCTTGAAGAGAAGTGCAGTCACTGCAGGACGTGGAGAGGTGACAACATGAAGATGGGGGAGGTGACAGGACAGGAGCTGGTGAACCTCACCTGGACACTTGCTGCCAACTCCTGCCCTGGGTCCCAGAACAGCCACAAGGCCTCACACTCAGAACTGGGAAAAGGGGGCCTTGGCCAATGACAGAACGGCCCATACCCCGAATGTTCCTGGGACTCCAGGTGTGTGGCTGTGGGGCTGGCCTCGGTCATGCAGTGATGAGACGGCAGGAGTGAGATTCTGCCTCCTGACCCCCTGTGGCCAGTCCCAGCCTCTTTCCCCACCTCTGCAGTCTGGTAGAGGCAACCACCATCCGTAAGGAACATGGTGTCCTGCTCAAGCCATTCTTTCTGGTCCCTCTCTCCTAGTTCCCCTCTAGGGGAATCCCAGAACCCAGCCCACCACTCCAGTCTGCGCTGGCCACCACCTGCTCCTGCCAGCCCTTCTCTCCCAGTACACCCAGAAACTAGAGCCTCCGGACAGACCCTAACTGGCCTTCACCCACCCCCACCCTCCTAGTCCATGTCCTTATAAACCTCTCCCTTCCAGGGCACCCCACTGCCTCTAAGTCTGTACCCTCCAGTCCCCATACTGTCTCACCTAGCACCCCCCTCCCCCAGGGGACACTCACAGGCCAGGACGCCGCTGGTGGTGCAGTCCACACCAGCCGGCAGATTCCAGGGCATGGGCGGGGGCAGCGTGGGCAGTTGGGAGACACGGGAAGCTGGCCCGTCCTCCGCCCCCGAGTCACCGGCTGTGGACCCCGCGCTGGGGGCAGTGCTAGGGGCGGCTGCAGCAGTGCTAGTGGCCGTAGTGGTAGCAGGCTGCTGCTCCTCCTCCTCTTCCTCTTCCTCCTCCTCTTCTTCCTCCTCCTCCTCCTCCTCCGCCCCACCTCGGACCCCAGCCTCCTCAGTGGCCTCCTCCGGCAGGAAGGAGACCTCGGGTGTCTTGCAGCTGCTGTCCACGGTCTGCGAGTCCGGAGTGAGGGCAGGGGGTGGTGGGGCTACCTTGGGGGGCGGGGTGCTCGGAACCTTGGCTGCCCGCTCCTCACCGGACCACGAAGTCTCCTCCGCCCCCTTGGTGCCTGCCGCCTGGCTGCAGCTATCCGCCTTGGACTTCTTCAGCGACACCGGGCCGCCACTGCCCCCGCTGCCACCTCCGCTGCGGACCTTTTTCCTGGTTTTGGATGGCTTGGTCTTTCCCTTGGTCCCCTTGGCTTTCTTGGCCCCTGCCTTGGCCTTGACCTTGGTCTTTTTGGGCTTGGTGCTGCCCGGAGCTGCTTTGGCCATCTCAGTGGGGGCCCGCTCGTCGGGTTTGAGGAAGGGGGAGCGACTCTCGCGATCGCGGCTGAATTTGACGCCGATGGAGCCCAGGCCGGCCGACGCAGCATCCTTGGCGGGGGTGGTGCTGCTGACACCCTCGCGGATGAGCACCGCCACCTTGGACTGCAGCTTCACCTTCCGGGAAGAACAGGACGACGACGAGGATGAAGAGCCTGAGCCGCTGCTGACCATTGGCTTTGGCGGGGGCCCTGAGGAAGGTGCCGACTCCTTGGGGGGCCGGGCCTTCTTGGATGACCTGTCCCTGTCCCTATCTCTGTCCCTGTCCCGATCCCGGTCACCCCCGTCCAGCGCCTTCCGACGAGACCCCTTCTCCCGGGAGGAGGAGGAGGAGGAGGCAGCCCCCGAGCGGCGCCGATCCTTCTGGCTGCTCTTGCCGCCCCGCTCCTCGCCGCTCAGTCCCTCGGAGTCGTACAGGACCTCCCGCTTAGGTGACGAGGCCGGGGCAGGAGAAGGTCCTCGGGGGTCGGACTTGTCAAGCCGGCCCACCGTGATGGTCCGCTTGATGGCGAAGAGGTCGTGGTCCGTAAGGTCCTGGATGGAGGGTGGCACGGCCCCCCGGCGGCGGCTGTCGCGGTCACCACCAGAGGTGGAGCCGGAGGG